TGTTTGCTTTAAACCGCCTTTCCCAGTTGAAAAGTGATGTCAGTCAGTGTTTGCACAACCGCCATAAGCCACCGAGTTATGCAGGAAGGTTCTAAGTGTAAATTCTTACTGCATAGTTTTCAGCGAAAAGGTCTATAAATGGCAGGTTTACTACCAGTTCAAGAGTCGCCATTGGAATTATTCTGGAAGCTCAAGTTCTGCACAGCCTATGAACCGTTTCCATTCACTTCCGGTAGGGGGATTTTCGTACGCCTGTCCACCGTATAACTGCACCGTAGAACAGAATTGGTCTTATAATAGCTGTGTGGCAGAAGTGCATGAGCGAAGGAGAGTCAATAAAAACATCGATATCAAAAAAAAAATTAAAAAAACTACAAAGTCACACTTATTTTCTTGGACAAGATTGCCAAGATTTAATTTTGGAAATTTATAAAATTTATAAAATCAATGCACCATTTCGATTCCAAATCAAAACGGTTTTAACAGTTCCGCAGAATACATATATTTACAAATTTTTTAAGGTTGCCACATGTTTGAAATGTTATAAAATTAATGAAATCAATATACTATATCGATTCCAAATCAAAGCAGTTTTAACAATTTCGCAAAATATATTTTCGAATGTTTTAAGGTTATCACCTGTTTGAAATTTTGTAATTTTATAAAATTAATAAAGTAAGCGTACCATTTCGATTCCAAAACAAAGAAATTTTAACAATTTCGCAATATATATTTTCAATTTTTTTAAGGTTGCCACCTGTTTTAAATTTTGTAATTTTATAAAATTAATAAAGTAAGCGTACCATTTCGATTCCAAAACAAGGAAATTTTAACANGTTTTAAATTTTGTAATTTTATAAAATTAATAAAGTAAGCGTACCATTTCGATTCCAAAACAAGGAAATTTTAACAGTTTCGCAGAATACAAATTCTTTAAGGTTGCCACCTGTTCGTATTTTTTAATAAATTTCTAATTTGAGTAAAAGTTAAATATTACATTTTTTGACATGGTATGGAAGATTTTTAATAAATCATTTATACACATATGCATATACAAAAGTTTCAGTGTTCAAGGCATTTTGCATCGTGCCACAGTTAACAACGGAGTAATTTATACAGTTTTTTTTTTAGTTTAAAAAATAATTTTCATTGCAAAATATGACCAACAGTTTATTAAGATTTGACTAGTTATTTCATTTTCTTTATCACATAATTGAGTATTCTTACATAAATGTATATCATGATGAAATTATAACGGCTAAGATATGACAAAAGAATTGACTCCATTTTCTAAAGAAAACAAAAGTGAACTCTTTCCACAAAAGTCACATCATTCTTTTATTGACATATATGTTTTTCTCATTTGTTTCATCTCGTTCTCAATTAACTTATGTAAACTTTAAGTTTACTTATTTAAAAACAACTTTCATCAGTTCTTGCATTTCTTGAAGTTGTGAGTCAGTGTTTCCCTAACAATAACTCAGAGAATATATATATGTCAAGTTGGTAGTGCTTGCGGGTATTTAGGACAACAAACGGTGCATAATTTACAATAATATGTGTCGTTAGGGTGTTAGTTATTTTTGAAGTAGAGTTTTTCTTTTTTTCTGAACTTAAGAGTAAGGAGTTTTAGTTTTCGCTCCAAAAATTTTCCATGATTTTTTGAAGGCTTGCATTAAAAAATAAATCTAAAACTTAAAAAAAATGATTATAATAAAAAAATGTTGAAACAAGTTGTATTGATTTTTGCATTAGAGGAGTTATACGCTGTTAAGGTTATACGGCTATAGCAACTATTAGACTTTATAAAGATACACCATGTCGTATGAGCAACACGAAATTGATAAATAACGTGGATGAATGCATAAATTTCACTGCGCATAACTTTCAAACTAATGGTTTTATGAAAAAGAGAAATTAAAATTAATATTAGAATTAGAACATAGATTATTAGTAGACTATAATTTTTTCAAATTTGTAAGTTTGTATGCCTCGCAAATACAAAAAAAAAGCAAGGCAAGCGTTAAAAAAAATATTTGGCGACACGCGTTCAGTAAAATTAATAATTTCAACTAAAAACCTGAAAATTGAGTGTGGTAAACAATACAAAAAAAGAATCAACTAACGAAATAGTAGACACCCTAATATACGATAATCTCATAACAAACCTATCAAGTGAACTCTACAGCTAAGTCAGCGAAGTTTTAAGTTAAGTAAGGTACTATTACATACTTATATGTATATAGTATGTATCTCTTTGTTATTAATTAACCCAGTTTTACGTCTATAAAAGTGCATAGCTTTTCTTATAATGCAAACAGCAACTTCACAAGCTCATGGCTACATCCCATATACATTGACAAGCTTTCGATAAATAGGGTATTGACAACTGTTAAGTAGGTGTACGGGAGTGCCTTCAGGGAGGGAAAAGTCAAAAGTTTACCCCAGTAATTTAAGAAATGAGTAGTAGTTAACAAGAAGTAGAAAAATGTTTAACTTTGCTTTAAATGTAGAGAAAGTTCGGCTTTCGCATAGAATATAGTGTTCTTCCATAAACTTTTATAAAATGCGTCAAATTTAGCGATTTAAAAAATGAAAATTACAAAAACTAATTTAGAAAAATCTAAGTTAGGCCATAGTAACACACACCATCAAAGGTCATATAGCCTTTCAGGACACACTCAGCATTAACGCTTTTGAATCCATACTAAGATTAAAGTATAAAAATTAATATTTCCACCACACTTTTATAACACCCCCACACTCTTTTTTTTTCTTTCATTTTGCCAGAATTTGTTAACTAATTACACACATAAGCTCGCCGCGTTAAAGCCAATGGATTACTGTTTTTTTTTTTTTTACACCAACAAGCTTGTGTATTTCTTCTCAACAAACCACTCGCTGGCGCTGTAATTAAAGTACATGATATGCAAAAAAAAAGTTAATATTCCGCAAAATATGATGCAAATTGAACAAGAAAACTATTTTAAAATGGAAATCAGCTACTGCTTTTTCCAGCTACATATTTTTGTCCGTTCGCTCTTTTTCTGCCCCTTTTTATGCAAGTATTCGGAAGTAATTTATTGGACGCAACAAACTTAATTGAAGCATTTGCAATTTGAAATTGTATTTTAAGTTTTTCTGCATAACTTCAGTTGACGCTTTGCTTTTTAAATTAACTTACTTTTTGTACTTATATTAATTGTAACCGACACAGTGACACAAGGCAATTGAGTTAAAAATCTGATAAATTCAGAAATTCCGACATTCCGTTATAGTTTTTTGTTTTATACTTATAGAAAATGTGTAATATTTAAAATTCTTGTATAAAAAATATTTATTTACAAATATGTATAGTAAACTTGTAATAAAAATATGAACTTATATACTTCAAGCGGTATAAACCAGAATTCATTGTTTCTATTTCTTTGACAGGATTGCCACGGTTACGTATATCCAGTTGTGATAAAAACGAATAATACATACAATTTTATACATAAATTCATAATTTAATAATGTCATAATTGAATCATGCTTTGTTTAAAATCTTTAAAACCTTAAAGAAAAAAATATTTGTTCATATTCCAATTTTATTTTTTTTTTCTATTAAAATTTTAAAATTAATTAATTAATTTTATTTTAATTTTTTTTAATTTTTTTCAATTAAAATTTATAAATCTATTTGCACTGTTAAAATTATGTATACAAAAGTACTTCGAAATTTTTTTTAAATAATTATTTTTTTCACTGTTGAGCTCAAAATGTCAAGCCTAAGAGTTAAAAAACTTAGTTGCTCTAAAATCTATACAAAAAACACTATAATTTACCGAAATCGTAGTATATTTATTTAAGTCAGTAATTTTTCCAAAATTAAACAAGTAATTTGACGTAAATAGTTTTCTAAAGTAAATTATTAATAAGATATTTCGAATAAAAAATATTACTTATACATACATATGTATATTCAGAATATTTTGACAAAATTAAAATTTCAAAGCTGTTTTAATTTAGAAAAATGTTTGGATTAAGAAAATATAATGTCTAAGGCCCTTTCGTTAAATCATTTACGATGGGATCCATCACAAAATGCCGACAATTTTACGGAACATATAAAAATAGTTCTGCTTGTGTGGTTAGAAAATATCGTTTGTACTTTGGATTAACTTTAAAAGATTAATTTAAATTGAGTAATGCGCAATGAACATAATTACTAATTTGTTCATTTATTTTTATTATTATTTTAATATTTTTATATTATTTCTTATATATTTTTGCTATGTTACAGATACGCCGACTCATTTCTAAATTCCAAAAAAATTGTTATCTGTATCGTTTACAAGAGCCTTATAATATATACGACGACCTCATATCTTTTTACTTTAGGAAACACTTCGTGTAGTATGACTGATATTACATTCGAATACCAAATTTTTGTTACTTATACGCGCTGGACTGCCCATTAGCATTCTATTGCACTATGAAAGTGTAAACACCCGAAAATGTATGTTACTCATACGCCAAGTACAACTACCTGTACTCCAATCAATGCTGTTATCGTAATGCCAAGCGTATAAGTAATTTCACATTCGAGTATCAATTGTGTGTTATTCATACGCACTCCTCTACTCAATATTCTAGCATTGGTTAAATGCCCTACTTGTGTATATCACTCATACGCTCTGCCCTACCGATGCTGCACTCACTAGATACTTTGATGGTAATGCAGGGCGTATGAGTAACTCACGCTTTGGAAAATATTTATAAATAATTACCCGAAGAAAATCACTACAACTAATCATATATTATTAACTCCATGCCTCTCCAACACATCAAGTACCATTCTCGCCCATCTAACATCCATCAACTCAATCGCTTATATACATATATGTATACTCAATCGCACTCTATATAGAAATAATATCTACTACCGCACATTAAACTCTTTTAAAGTCGTCATTTCCTCTCTTTTTTAATACTCTGCAATTTTTGTAATTTTTCAGCTCATCACGCACTGAGCCACCAGATCTAGTTGGCATTATGCGCGTCACTGATGACATGATTGATTCATTGGTTTGTCCACCGCCACCATCAGATCCGCCCGTAATGAGCGAGGAGATGATATCCGGTTTAATCGTGCCGGCGCCAGGTTGGAGTAAGTACAAATATACAAACATTGATGCATAAATATATATATATATATATATAGACACATAGCAACACAAACTCGCCATAAAAATATTTATGAAACGCCCAAGCAAACTCTTACATAAATACGCTGTATCTGTGTGCTTGTCTGTGTGTTTGCTTAGCTTATGCGTGCTATGTTGCCGCAACTGTAGTGACGTGGCTTATTCGCTTGCTGCTTGCATAAATAGATTAAAAATATGTCAACTGTCAAAGTGCAATGAAGTTGCAATAAAATGACGCGCGCTCGCAAACTCACACACACACACATACATATGTACATACTAGCACACACACAGAAACAAAACCTTATATCCAGCAATGTGCTTTCGCGCAGCAGACATCAAATAGCAGCGCGGCAGTAAATTCGGTTAGCGCTGCATCAGCTGGCAACGCCGTGAAAGCTGTGTGCGCTTTTCGTGCAGCTGCGTGACTGACTGGCTGCAGGCTAAGAGGGGTGGCGTTATGCTCCTTGATTGCGTTAAGTCCAGCAGTAATTCGCTGAAATTGCGAAAATGTATTCATTAAAATTTCAGCGAACTGTTGGTCAAAGTGGAATAACCAATACATATGTACATTTGTGTACATACATATGTATGGTTTATGTATATACACGCCGTTTGATGATTCAAAAATCAATATTTGATTAGCAAACCCGATTGGCGAAGCAAGCGTAGTAAACAATATTGGTGCGCGTAAATTTTTGAAAAGCAAATAGTAGTTTAGAAGCGGGAATAAAAAGCTTAACGGTTTTCTAAGTGCTGAAAATTGAATAATCAATTAGTCAAACATTTATAGCAGAATAAAGGAATAATGCACTTTAGTCAAGAAAAAAAAACACTGATCTATTTAATTTCTATTTTTTATTTATAAGGGTTATCGAAAAATATTTCCAAGCACACAACGCGGACAAAAGAAAAACTCAGCAATAGCGAACATTCAAAATTCAAATAATTTACTTTTACAAGTCAGAATTCAAAATTCACTCGAAATTCCAAATATTTTACAAGCTTATTACAATTCTACCAGGGCCAATAGAGACAATTATATTCACTATATTAACGACGACTTCAAAATATAAATATTAAAATTGCACTAAATTAATTTTATGAAGAAATTTACCATTCAACTAACTAAATATCGAGAACTCACTATGAAAGCAGAATATTTCCAGCAAACACTAATATTGAATGTTATATGTTGCTCATACGCCACGTAGAATCAGATAGTTCTCTATCAAATATACCACATATAACAAATATACGCCATATAGCACCATAAAATACATAATTCAGCTTCTCATCCTCCTAAATCTTTGCAGCTTATATATTACTTAGATTATTACAGAAATCTAGTGAAACCTCAAGTCCCTTGATACTAAATTCAGTGAAATATTAGTTCATACATATTCCCAGATTATCACAAGATCGCCATCTGTCTCACTAAAGAAAGCTTATACCTACTTTATTCGATACCAGTACCCAATTCAATCTTTGTCGGATGAAATAAATACTGTGGCTTGCTAAAGAGTTACTCTGAACGTAATGGACGTGCCCAAAATAAGTTTTTCCTTGCTTCCTTTTGCGAAAGTGACCATCCATTGCTGTCTGAAAGCCATATTTTTATAGCTCTTAAATCCTTGTTAAAAAGTTCTAATTAAACCAGATCTTTGAGTTTTCAAGATACTTCAGAAATTGGACTTTCAGTTAACTTACTGACAATTCTCCTGTTTCCCAACGCAACTCTGCTAAGAAGCTAGTAGTTCACCTGGATAGTTATAGTTATGAGGACAAAATTATAAAAGCTAGTATTAAGTATAATTGTAACTCGTAAGCTTCTAAGCAATTATGGCAATTGTTCTTCGAAGGATTCCCATCATGGGTGCGAAAAGGCCACACAACCTGCTGAAAGCAAGAACCGCACTCTTACTCTTTTGAGTCATCTGGGTTCATTTGACTGAATAACGAGTTGCTGCGAAGCCCATGTGTTCACAAAGCTTAAACGAATTCCAACGATTTTCTATCTGACCCCGAAATTAAATACAACAACTTTAGCGCCGATAAAGTAAAAGCAGTTCCGAATTGATGCCTCAGTTTTCAAGGTTTTTGATTCTACCATGTCTACTTTTTTTTCTTTTTTCTATTAATAAATCCAAGATTTCACATGAATGAACTTTTGTTTCACCAAAGAGTAAATTTTTAGACAATTATTTCAATAGGGTTCCATCCCCTAACTGTTTCTAGAAATGTAGAATTCTGTGTAAACTAAAGTATTAATATCCAAAGTACTGACACATTCTTTTGAGAGAAGTATACTTAGAAATTGAATGTTTTATGTCATATAAGGATATATTAATTTTACTACAAATTTATTCAAAAATGTATATGAAAACAAGTAAGGAAGGGCTAAGTTCGGGTGTCACCGAACATTTTATGCTCTCGCATGATAAAGTGATAATCGAGATTTCAGGCGTGGTTGTTAACCGATTTCACCCATATTTGGTACATGTCATCAGGGTGTTAAGAAAATATTGTATACCGAATTTAATTGAAATCGGTAGAGTACTTCCTGAGATATGGTTTTTGATCCATAAGTGGGCGACGCCACGCCCATTTTCAATTTTTAAAGAAAGCCTGGATGCGACTTCTGACATTTCTTCCGTAAAATTTAGTGTTCCTGACGTTTTTTGTTAGTCGGTTAACGCACTTTTAGTGATTTTCAACATAACCTTTGTATGGGAGCTGGGCGTGGTTATTATCCGACTTCTTCCATT